GCTTGGATTCGCTTGGCTTCGCTTCGCTTGGGTTCCCTTGGCTTCGGTTGGGTTAGCTTGGCTTCGCTTGGCTTCGCTTGAATACGCTTCGCTTCGCTTCGCTTGGCTTCGCTTCGCTTGGCTTCGCTTCGCTTGGCTTCGCTTCGTTTGGCTTCGCTTCTCTTGGCTTCGCTTGGCTTGGCTTCGCTTTGCTTGGCTTCGCTTGGATTGCTTCGCTTCGCTTGGCTTCGCTACGCTTGGCTTCGCTTGGCTTTGCTTCGCTTTGGTTGGCTTCACTTGGCTTAGCTTCACTTGGCTTGGCTTTGCTTGGCTTCGCTTGGATTGCTTCGCTTCGCTTGGCTTCGCTTCGCTTGGCTTCGCTTTGCTTCGCTTCGCTTGGCTTCGCTTGGCTTTGCTTGGCTTTGCTTCGCTTTGGTTGGCTTCACTTGGCTTAGCTTCGCTTGGCTTGGCTTTGCTTGGCTTCACTTGGATTGCTTGGCTTCGCTTGGATTGCTTGGCTTCGCTTGGATTGCTTGGCCTCGCTTGGCTGCGCTTCGCTTGGCCTTGCCTGGCTTCACTTGGCTTCGCTTGGTTTTGCTTGGCTTCGCTTGGCCTCGGTGCACTTCGCTTGGCTTTGCTTCCCTTCGCTTCGCTTCGCTTCGCTTGGCTTGGCTTCGCTTTGCTTGGCTCTGCTTGGCTTCGCTTGGCTTTGCTTGGCTTCGCTTGGCTTCGCTTGGCTTGCTTGGCTTCCCTTGGCTTCACTTGGGTTCACTTGGCTTTGCTTGGCTTCGCTTGGCTTTGCTTGGCTTCGCTTGGCTTCGCTTGGCTTTGCTTGGATTCGCTTGGCTTCGCTTGGCTTCACTTCGCTTGGCTTTGCTTGGCTTCACTGCGCTTGGCTTTGCTTGGCTTTGCTTGGCTTTGCTTGGCTTCGCTTGGCTTCCCTTGGCTCTGCCTGGCTTCGCTTGGCTTCGCTTGGCTTTGCTTGGCTTTGCTTCGCTTTGCTTGGCTTTGCTTGGCTTCGCTTGGCTTCGCTTGGCTTCGCTTGGCTTCGATTGGCTTCGCTTGGCTTCGCCTAGCTTCGCTTGGATTCGCTTGGCTTCGCTTGGCTTCACTTGGCTTCACTTGGCTTCGCTTGGCTTCGCTTGGCTTTGCTTGGCTTCTTTTTGCATGGATTCGCTTGGATTCGCTTGGTTTTGCTTGGCTTTGCTTGGCTTCGCTTGGCTTCACCTCGCTTCGCTTCGTTTCGCTTCGCTTTGCTTGGCTTCGCTTGGCTTCACTTGGCTTCGCTTCGCTTTGCTTGGATTAGCTTGGCTTCGCTTGGCTTTGCTTGGCTTCTCTTGGCTTCGCTTGGCTTCGCTTCACTTGGCTTCGCTTCGCTTGGCTTCGCTGCGCTCTGCTTGGCTTTGCTTGGCTTTTCATGGCTTCGCTTGGCTTTGCTTGGCTTCGCTTGGCTTTGCTTGGCTTCGCTTGGCTTCGCTTGGCTTTGCTTCGCTTCGCATTGCTTCGCTTGGCTTAGCTTCGCTTCTCTTGGCTTCGCTTCGCGTCACTTTGCTTTGCTTGGCTTCGCTTGGCTTTGCTTGGCTTCACTTGGCTTTGCTTCGCTTCGCTTGGCTTTGCTTGGCTTCGCTTGGCTTTGCTCGGTTTCTCTTTGCTTCGCTTGGCATCTCTTGGCTTCACTTCACTTGGCTTCGCTTGGCTTCACTTGGCTTCGCTTGGCTTTGCCTCGCTTCGCTTGGCTTCGCTTGGCTTCCCTGCGCTTCGCTTGGCTTCGCTTGGCTTCGCTTTGCTTGGCATCGCTTCGCCTCACTTAGCATCGCTTGGCTTCACTTGGCTTCGGTTGGCTTTGCTTGGCTTCGCTTGGCTTCGCTTGGCATTGCTTGGCTTTGCTGGGCTTCCCTTTGCTTTGCTTGGCTTATGTTGGCTTCACTTCGCTTGGCTTCGCTTGGCTTCGCTTGGCTTTGCTTGGCTTTGCTTGGCTTTGCTTCGCTTCTCTTGGCTTTGCTTCGCTTCGCTTGGCTTTGCTTAGCTTCGCTTGGCTTTGCTTCACTTCAATTGGCTTCGCTTGGCTTCGCTTCGAGTTGCTTCGCTTCGCTTGGCTTCGCTTGGCTTCGCTTTGCTTTGCTTCGCTTGGCTTCGCTTGGCTTCGCTTCGCTTCACTTGGCTTCGCTTTGCTTCGCTTGGATTCGCTTGGCTTGGCTTGGCTTCGCTTCACTTGGCTTTGCTTGGCTTCACTTGGCAACGCTTGCCTTCGCTTGGCTTCGCTTGGCTTGGCTTGGCTTGGCTTGGCTTGGCTTCGCTTGGCTTCACTTGGCTTCGCTCGGCTTCCCTTTGCTTCGCTTGGCTTTGCTTGGCTTCGCTTGGCTTCGCTGCGCTTCACTTGGCTTCCCTTCGCTTCACCTTGCTTGGCTTCGTTTGGCTTTCGATTGGCTTTGCTTGGCTTTGCTTGGCTTCGCTGCGCTTCGCTGCGCTTTGCTTGGCTTCGCTTGGATTCACTTGGCTTCGCTTGGCTTCTCTTCGCTTCGCTTGGCTTCGCTTCGCTTCGCTTGGCTTCGCTTGGCTTCACTTGGCTTCGCTTCGCTTTGTCTGGCTTTGCTTGGCTTCGCTTGGCTTCGCTTGGCTTGGCTTGGCTTCGCTTGGCTTGGCTTGGCTTTGCTTGGCTTGGCTTCGCTTGTCTTTGCTTCGCTTTGCTTGGCTTCGCTTGGCTTCGCGTCGCTTCACTTGGCTTTGCTTCACTTGGCTTGGCTTGGCTTGGCTTGGCTTGGCTTGGCTTGGCTTGGCCTTGCTTGGCTTGGCTTCACTTTGCTTGGCTTGGCTTGGCATTTCTTGGCTTGGCTTGGCTTGGCTTGGCTTGGCTTTGCTTTGCTTGGCTTTGCTTTGCATGGCTTGGTTTTGCTTAGCTTTGCTTGGCTTTGCCTTGTTTGGCTTCGCTTTGCCAAGTGAAGCGAAGCGAAGCAAAGCGAAGCGATGTGAAGCCAAGCTAAGCCAAGCGAAGCCAAGCCAAGCGAAGCGAAGCCATTCGAAGCGAAGCCAAGCCATACCAAGCGAAGCCAAGCCATACCAAGCCAAGCCAAGCGAAGCCAAGACAAGCCAAGCCAAGTGAATCGAAGCCAAGTGAATCCAAGAGAAGCGAAGCGAATCCAAGCAAAGCCAAGCAAAACCAAGTGATGCGAAGCCAAGCGAAGCGAAGCGCAGCGAAGCCAAGGATAGCCAAGCGAAGCGAAGCGAATCCAAGTGAAGCGAAGCAAAGCCAAGCAATGACAAGCCAAGCGAAGCGAGCCAAGAGAAGCAAAGCCAACCAAAGCTTAGCGAAGCGAAGCCAAGCCAAGCGAAGGGAAGTCAAACGAAGCCAAGCAAAGCGAAGCGAAGCTAAGCGAAGCAAAGCCAAGCGAAGCAAAGCGAAGCAAAGCACAGCGAAGTGAAGTGAAGCCAAGTGAAACCAAGCGAAGCGACGCAAAGACAAGCGAAGACAAGCGAAGCGAAGCGAAGAAAATCCAAGCAAAGCGAAGGGAAGCCAAGCCAAGCCAAGCCAAGCAAAGCGAAGCCATGCGAAGCGAAGCGAAGCCAAGCAAAGCAAAGCGAATCCAAGCAAGGCGAAGCCAAGCGAAGCCAAGTGAAGCCAAGCCAAGCCAAGCCAAGCAAAGCCAAGCGAAGCGAAGCGAAGCCAAGACAAGCAAACTGAAGCGAGGCCAAGTGAAGCGAAGCGAAGCAAAGCGAATCGAAGCAAAGAGAAGCCAAACCAATCGAAGGGAAGCAAAGCCAAACAAAGCCAAGCCAAGCGATGCCAAGCAAAGCCAAGCCATGCAAAGCAAAGCCAAGCAAAGCAAAGCCAAGCGAAGCCAAGCCAAGCCAAGGCAAGAAAAGCCAAGCCAAGCCAAGCGAAGTGAAGCCAAGCCAAGCCAGGCCAAGCCAAGCCAAGCCAAGCCAAGCGAAGCCAAGCTAAGCCAAGCGAAGTGAAGCCAAGAGAAGCCAAGCGAAGTTAAGCCAAGCAATGCGAAGCAAAGCAAAGCCAAGCCAAGCGAAGTGAAGCAAAGCGAAGCCAAGCGAAGCGAAGCAAATCGAAGCGAAGCGAATCGAAGCGAAACCAAGCGAATCGAAGCAAAGCGCAGCGAAGCCAAGGAAAGCCAAGTGAAGCGAAGCAAAGCCAAGCAAAGACAAGCAAAGCCAGGTGAAGTGAAGCAAAGCCAAGCGAAGCGAAGCAAAGCGAATCCAAGCAAAGCGAAGCAAAGCAAAGCGAAGCGAAGCAAACCCAAGCGAAGCGAAGCCAAGCAAACCCAAGCAAAGCCAACCGAGCAAAGCGAATCGAAGCCAAGCCAAGCCAAGCCAAGCGTAGCGAAGCAAAGCCAAGCGAAGCAAAGCAAAGCCAAGCGAAGCGAAGCGAGGCCAAGTGAAGTGAAGCGGGGGTAAGCGAAGCATAGAAAATCGAAGCGAAAAGAAGTGAAGCCAAGCGAAGCGAAGCCAAGCCAAGCGAAGCCGAGCCAAGCGAAGCCAAGCCAAGCCAACTGAAGCGAAGCTAGGAAAAGTCAAGCCAAGCGAAGCCAAGCCAAGCCAAGCCAAGCCAAGAAACGCGAAGTGAAGCGAAGGGAAGCCAAGCGAAGCCAAGCAAAGCAAAGCAAAGCCAAGCCAAGCCAAGCCAAGCGAAGTCAAGAAAAGCAAAGCGAATCGAAGCGAAGCGAATCCAAGTGAAGCGAATCGAAGCGAAGCAAAGCCAAGTGAAGCGAAGTGAAGCGAAGCGATGCCATACAAAGCCAAGCGAAGCCAAGCAAAGCCAAGCAAAGCCAAGCCAAGCGAAGCCAAGCAAAGCAGAGCCAAGCGAAGCCAAGACAAGCCAAGCCAAACGAAGCGAAGCCAAGCAAAACCAAGGGAAGAGACGCAAAGACAAGCGAAGACAAACAAAGCAAAGCGAAGAAAAGCCAGGCAAAGCGAAGGGAAGCCAAGCCAAGCCAAGCCAAGCTGTTGTGTGATGTCATCATATGCTATCACATTCTGTCTGCCTCCCATCCCATATTTTTCAACTTGCATGTGTGGTTTGAACGTGTGCAAGAATTTGTGTGTGATGTGTTCTGGAGTTTGGGAATGTGTTTTGTGTTATTTTGTTTGAGCAGGTTTTTTTGTGATGATAGATCTTGAGAAGATCTTTCCGACGCAACGAGAATCCCTTCAATCGGAGCAAGAACGCGAAAGCTATGAAGATTCAAAGTTCATGAGCTTGCGTTACAATTGCGGCGGTTACAAAGTGAAGTTGTGGGGTGACTTTATATGGAGTTGGGACCTTGGGGTTGGGTAAACTTGTCACTCTACTGTAACAGCTGCAAATAGGTTGGGAACAACCAAGCTAGGTTGGCAAGGGTGGCCAACTTGGATGGATTGGTTGGGAAGGGACAAAGGTCAAAGTTGAGGTTCCTATAGGGAGGGAATCTTTGTGCTTATGGGGTTTCCTTGGTTGGGGACTCTCTTGGGACCTTCCCTCTCATCCCTCTCTTCTATCCCAACCTTTCTCTTGCTCCTCTAATTCCTTGTGAGATTCTTGAACTTTGATTGAACTCTTGAGATTGAGTTAAGTTCTCCTCCTACAGCTTACCCCCTAGTGCGTCGAAAGCCATAGCGTCGCGAATACTTCATCAATCAACGTGATTCAAATTGGGAACGGTAGCTGAGATCAAGAGCTACAACATATCCAAGTTTCGCGACATTCCAACGGCTAGTGTTTTGTCGACGTCGTTTCTTGTGAAGACGACTTTTCTGTCCAGAATTTCGGATTTATATTTTGAGTAATTCTAGCTCCTAAGTTCACCTAGACTCTGTCCTTAATCCTAACAAGTGGTATCAGAGCTGTATTAAGGACGTTGAGAGGAGTCTACAGAAGTGTGAAGACCCTTCTAGACCCACCATGGCCTGTGGGTGTGCCTAAGTGGTGTTCTAAAGGTTGGATGTGTCTTCCGCTAAGGGAAACTCTGCCGAAATTTCGTGGACGCCGACACTTGTGAAAATATCGAGGGAGCTGAGTGTGGACAGCAAAGGGGGCTGAAATTCGTCATTTCTCAAGGAGAAGATGAATGAGAGAGGAGGAGATGCTAATGGAAGAGGAGCTGTAGCTGAGAAGACAAGTGAGCCGCCGCCATCAAAAGTTGAAGCTTTGGATGGCTCCAACTATGAGGAATGGAGCGGACGGATGAGGAGTGCCTTCAAACGCTACAAGCTACTGAAGATTGCTGTTGGGGAAGAGAAGATGCCAGAAGAAGGCGAAGCACGCGAACCGTGGATTGAGAAAAGCGCGGTGCTTTTCGACCTCATCCTTCAATCGGTCAACAAGGAGATGTTCGAGCACATCAAGGATCTTGTGGAAGCGGATGATTCGGGTCCAAGGGCGTGGAAACTACTACGCGATGTGATTCAGCCCAACACTCTCCCGATGGTGATCGTGCTCGAGAAGGAACTTGCTGCCATCTCCATGCGACCAGGGGACGATGTGAAGCCGGTCCTTGACAAGATCAAGAACACCTATGCAAGGATGGCAGCAGCGGGCAGCAGTGTATCTCAGCTGCAGCAGTGCACCAAGATCATCTCGGTGTTGGACAACTCTTGGGACAACCTCATCCCCACCCTCAACTCTCAGCAAGATCAATGGACACCTGAGTGGCTAAGGCAGCAGATTCTGCAGGAGGACTTCCGCAGACGCCATGTGGGAGGCGGTGCTGCCACTAAGACTGCTGAGGGGTATGGAGCTGCAGGGCGCAGCAGAGGAAGAGGGGGTTGGAAAGGCCGAGGCCGTGGGAGGAGCTTTGGCAGAGGTAGAGGCCGAGGTGACTATAATGAGGGGCATGGGAGCTCTAGTGGCAGGGGGAGTACCAGAATGGAGGGCACGTGCTGGTACTGCAAGAAGGTTGGGCATCCTTGGTTCAAGTGCTTCAGCAGGCTGGAGGGATGGGCACCTCCAGGCATGAAGCCGCCCAGTGGTGAACGCGCACAAGGTGGCGCTGTGCAAGGCTCAGGTGCACAAGGTGAAGGTGCACAAGGTAATGCCTATCCTGGTTTGTTTGTTATGGTTGAGGATGTGCATGGGCATGAGGGTGATGTGGGATCTGTGGGAAAGGTTGTGATGCACCCTCTCACGCACTGGGTGATTGATTCGGGTTGCACCAGTCACATGACTCCACGGGCAGATTTGCTTGATGAGGTAAAACCCCCTGGGAAGATTAAGTATGTGGCAGCAGCGTCAGGTGCTTTGCTCCCCGTGATTGGTGTTGGGAATGCCAAGGTTAAGGGAGCTAATGGGGAGCTTGTGGGGCTTGGGAATGTTCTGCTGGTTGAAGGCTTGTCTGCTAACCTTCTCTCTGTGCGACGACTGCAGAAGAGCAAGGCCGAAGTGACCTTTGGACCAACCAGCTGCCGTGCTAAGCTTGGGAAGAAGGTGCTGTGGAGTCTGGAAGAGGAGACCAGCTGCATCAAGGACCTGTGGCAGCTGCCCATCATCCCATGGAATGGGAAGACTCCAACAGCAGCAACGGCAGCAGCGGCAAAGGCAACAGCAGGAGGAGATGCAACTGCACCAACTGATGGGGTCCTGGAAGCAGTCAAGAAAGTGCAGCAGCAGCAGACACATGGTGAGGTGCTTGCTGGTGTGGATGCGAGTGCGGCATGGGCTAAGGCTTCATCAAGGAGTGGAGAGGCCGATTGGGAGACATGGCATGAGAGGCTGTGTCATGTGAACTTCCCTATGCTGCAGAAGTTGGTGAAGGATGGGAGCCTGAAGGGCTTGGAGGTGAAAGGGGGAGTGAAGGAGATTGGGAGCTGCCCTACATGCTTGGAGACCAAGTTCTCCAAGTTCCCCTTCAACAGCACTACAGGACCAGCCAAGACCCCACTTGCACTTGTGCACATGGATGTGGTGGGGCCCACAAGAGCCCCTTCCCTCTCAGGCAGCCGCTATTTCTTGACAATTGTGGATGACCACACTCGGGCAGTGTGGGTTTACCCTTTGAAGAGCAAGGGGGAGGTGGCAGCGGCTGTCCTTAAGGAGTGGATGCCTAGAGCTCAGAGGGAATGCGGACACAAGGTGAAGGTGATCCGCAGTGACAATGGTGGGGAGTTCATTGGAGCTGATTTTGAGGGGGAGTTGAAGAGGAAGGGGATCCAGCATCAACTGACAGTGCCCTACAACCCGCAGCAGAATGGCGTGGCTGAGAGGTTCAACAGGACCCTGCAGGAGGGGGCACGCACTCTCCTTGGGCGTGCAGGGCTGCCTGATCCGTTTTGGGTGTCTGCACTGAGGCAGGTCGCCCTTGTGAAGAATAGGGTGCTGGCTACAGTTGGGGATAAGGAGTGGATCCCATATTCAAGTGGTATGGGAGTGCTCCAGCTGTGAACATGCTGAGGGCATTTGGGTGCATGGTAGTGTTTCATGTGCCTAAGGAGAAAAGAGGGAAGTTGGAGGCTTCTGGAAGATGGGGTGTGCACTTGGGGATTGCAAAGGATCACAAGGGGTGGCTGCTATGGGACTTGACCACCCAGAAGTGACAGTGTCAAGGGATGTGAAGTTTCTTGAGTCCCTGTACTATAAGGAATGGAAGCAGCAGCAACAGAAGCTTCCATCTACACCGCTCATTGTGGAGGCAGATGAGTTGCAGCAGCCTTCAAGACAGGTGGAGGTTGCAGTGTCAGAGGAGGAGATGTCTGGGGTGACTGAGGAAGGGGGAGCAGCTGAAGTGGAGCAGCAACAGCAACATGAGTCTCCACCTCGAGTTCCACAGCCGCCTGAGCGACCTAGGAGGGATGTGCGCCCTCCTGTGAGGCTGACCTATGGGGGAAGAGGCAAGCCAAATGTGGTGCAGGCTGGGAGTGTGGTTGAGCAGATTGAGGAAGATGAGATCGCTCACTGCTACTGGGCACCAATCCCTGAGCCCAAGACTCGAGAGGAGGCCTTGAATGGACCAAATGGGGAGAAGTGGAAGGCGAGTGAGGATGAGGAGTTCGGGTCCCTGATTGAAAACGAGACATGGGACCTGTGTGACTTGCCTCCTGGGAAGAAGGCAATCACTTCCAAGATGATCTACAGGCACAAGTATGGACCTGAAGGGAGCTGACCCGCTACAAGTCTAGGCTTGTGGCAAGGGGGTTTCAGCAGACAAAAGGGAAGGACTATGATGAGGTGTTTGCTCCTGTGGGGAAAGGAACAACACTGAGGGTGCTGTTGGCGATAGCTGCACTCCTGGGATGGAAGATACGGCAGATGGACATTGTGACTGCCTTTCTGAATGGGATCATTCTGGAGGAGGTGTACATGAAGCAGCCAGAGGGGCTGGATGATGGGAGCGGCAGGGTCTGCAGGCTGAAGAAGGCCATCTATGGCCTTAAGCAGGCGCCTCGTGCATGGTATCACAAGTTGGAGGAGGCGCTGTTGGCTGGGGGTTTCAAGAAGAGTGAGTGTGACCCCAGCCTGTTCCTGCTGCAGGAGAAGGATGAAATCCTCATGCTCTTGGTGTACGTGGATGATATCCTTCTCTTTTCTGCATCAACTGCTTTGCTGGACAGCGCAGAGCAGATGCTAGAGATGCAGTTCAAGTGTTCCAAGATGGGTGAGGTGAAGTACTACTTGGGGATGCATGTGGAGAGAGATGTGGAGAAGGGTGTGCTGAGGTTGCACCAGAGGAAGTACTGTGAGGGGCTGGCTGAGAAGTATGGGCTGCAAGATGGGGGAAAGCCAGCAACACCACTACCTTCAGGGTTTACTGTGGAGCCATGTGCTGATGAGGAGGTAGTGGGTGAGAGTGACAGGAAGCTGTTTCATTCGATGGTTGGGTCGCTGAATTATGCTGCAAATCATACACGGCCTGACATTGCATTTTCTACATCACGGTTGGCTAGTGTGGTCTCACGCCCTAGTCATGAGCAGCTGGAAGCGGCCAAGAGGTTGGTCCGCTATGTGAGTGCTACGGCATCAGTGGGATTGGAGTACAGTGGAGTGAGGCAGCGGTTGCAGAGAGGTGCTGCAGATGTGAAGAGTGGAGAGATGCTCTTGAGTTGCTATACTGACGCTAGCTTCAACTCAGTGAAAGCGGATGGCACCAGCATTGGGGGATATGTGTGCTTGCTAGGAGGTGGTGCTGTGAGCTGGCGCAGCAAGAAGCAGAATGAGGTGGGATTGTCCTCATGTGAGACTGAGTACATGGCCTTACACCATGGGGCCAAGGAAGTGGTGTGGCTGAGGCGCTTGTTGGAGGAGTTGGGAGTTGGTCAGGAGAAGCCGACAGTTGTGTTTTGTGACAATGAGTCCGCTGTGAAGCTCGCCAAGAATGCTTGTCTGCATGGGCTGACAAAACACATAAGGCCTAAGTGGCATTGGGTGAGGAGACTCCTTGATAAGGAGGTGCGGCTGGAGATAGTGAAGACCCATCAGCAGGCAGCAGATATTTTCACCAAGCGTCTGGCGGAGGCGGATCATTGGAAGGGCATGAAGCTTGCTGGGATGAGTGTGCATTGAGTATGCATGCTTGAGATGTGGTATGGTGGATGATGGTTGGCAGCCAGAGGGGGAGATTGTTGTGTGATGTCATCATATGCTATCACATTCTGTCTGCCTCCCATCCCATGTTTTCAACTTGCATGTGTGGTTTGAATGTGCAAGCATTTGTGTGGTGTGTGTTCTGGAGTTTGGGAATGTGTTCTGTGTTATTTTTGTTTGAGCAGGTATTTGTGATGATAGATCTTGAGAAGATCTTTCCGACGCAACAAGAATCGCTTCAATCGGAGCAAGAACGCGAAAGCTATGAAGATTCAAAGTTCATGAGCTTGCGTTACAATTGCGGCGGTTACTAAGTGAAGTTGTGGGGTGACTTTATATGGAGTTGGGACCTTTGGGGTTGGGGAAACTTGTCACTCTACTGTAACAGCTGCAAATAGGTTGGGAACAACCAAGCTAGGTTGGCAAGGGTGGCCAACTTGGATGGATTGGTTGGGAAGGGACAAAGGTCAAAGTTGAGGTTCCTATAGGGAGGGAATCTTTGTGCTTATGGGGTTTCCTTGGTTGGGGACTCTCTTGGGACCTTCCCTCTCATCCCTCTCTTCCTATCCCAACCTTTCTCTTGCTCCTTCTAATTCCTTGTGAGATTCTTGAACTTTGATTGAACCTTTGAGATTGAGTTAAGTTCTCCTCCTACAGCTTACCCCCTAGTGCGTCGAAAGCCATAGCGTCGCGAATACTTTATCAATCAACATGATTCAAATTGAGAACGGTAGCTGAGATTAAGAGCTACAACATATCCAAGTTTCGCGACATTCCAACGGCTAGTTGTTTGTCGACGTCGTTTCTTGTGAAGACGACTTTTCTGTCCAGAATTTCGGATTTATATTTTGAGTAATTCTAGCTCCTAAGTTCACCTAGACTCCGTCCTTAATCCTAACAAGTGTTAGGAGGACGCAGGCCAGTGGTCCTCACTGGGCACACAGACGCTTCTTGGGCAGACGACTCTGAGACGCTCAGGTCGTGTTATAATCACAATAGGCTCAGATGTGCCTATAATGAGAGATAGAGAGCACAGTCGGATTTCCGTTAGACGGCTTCAAATATTTATAACGTTCTGCCACCTGCGTTAAACGGTAATCTGTAAGTTGGATCTAGAGCGCGTTGCTGTCTTCTATCAGCAGCAAGTTGAATCATGAAATTCCATGAAGATTTGACGACGCTATGGCGGTTTGATTGGCAGGAGGTATAGCAGCCACTATAGTCTTGGATGTACAAACTTAGCAAGAAGAGTTCGAGAGGGAGATAGTTCCCAGCCTCTACATACCCCAAGAGCCGAGGTCCAGGTTGGTGGTACACCACCACAGAGTCCCCAACCATGAAGAGTCTCGAAACCAACCCTCCAAGGGGCTACACCAAGTGAAATGTAACACTACACGAAGTAACGTTACTATTTTCACTATTTAATATTTATCCGCGTCCCTTGGGCTTGAAATCTTGAGCTCTTGTTCTTGGATCTGCAAGATAAATTCTTCTTGAGTTGATGAGGGCTTGCTGCACACACCTGCGACACGATGGACACTTCACACTCGACAAAATAGAAAAAACACATGCGACACACAAACGACGACTTGACATGCGAGTTGTAAAAACTCGCTAATGTCTTGACCGACACAAACCACATTGTGATACACCATTCAAACACACACACAAGCACTGGATAGCAATGACATAGACTCACAATTCATTCCATGCCATGCATGCACACACACAAACAAGGACGACAAGCCGAGTGCAAGCCATAGGGTTGCACCAACAAGGTCGTCGCAGGGCTACTGTTTTAGCCTTGGTTCGGGTGCTATCTCTTGGAGATCCACTCGCTCGTCGTCTGTTGCTCAGTCGAGCTGTGAGGCTGAGATCTACGCTGGTGCCATGGCGGCACAGGAGCTCCGCTGGCTGACCTTCTTGCTCACTGACTTAGGTGAGCGGCCTAGCTCTGCCCCGGTCCTGTACGCTGACAACAGGGCCATGATACTCCTGTGTCAGGAGCCTCGACTTGAGGGCAGAGCAAAGCACATCCAGCTGCGGTACTTCCTCCTGCGCGAGCTACAGCAGCGCCGCCAGGCCCGCGTAGTTCACTTGGCCTCTGGTGCCAACACAGCTGATATCTTTACGAAGGCGCTTGCGCCTAAAGATCATCAGCGGCACTGTGTACAGCTCGGTCTAGTTCCTGTAGCCTCTCACTTGCTAGGACCTTGACTTTGTACTGTCCTATATATATCTATCTATGTACTCAGATTGGAGTTGTGTCCTTTCCCAGTGGCTAGACTAGTAGTGCCGCCCTGGTCTTGTTCTTGTCTTGCCTGTACTCTTTTTGACTGGTCTTTAGACCCTTGTCTCAGTGGCTGGACTAGTAGTGCCGCCCTGAGCTGCTTGTTCAGGATTTGCCCCTATGCAGTCTAGGGGGTGTGTCAAATATATGTATAACTCATATTTGTATAGACTGTATAGGGTCACCTCTTAGAGGGTACAACACTCTTAGGTATATACCCTTGTTCTCTCTCTCTATTCAACACTTGTTCAATTTTCTTCTCGACATAATGTTCACGCTCGTATCCAATCTGAAAAAAGAAATGCACATAGCTTACCTTACAAACGAACTCTTGCCTATTTATTTGCATGAGAGAATTGCTCTTTAATTCCAGGATTCGATCAAGCTGGTACGCAACCCCACCGATGCATTGGCGTCAAGCCTTGTTTTCCCGTCAATAAGAGGCAAAACCCTCGAGCTCGCCACTGGATGCATTACGCGTTTCACACTCGAATTTCGAAGTTACACTACCGATATTTTTCGTTTAATACCACTATTACGTGAATTTTAGTGCGATGGGGCACTTTCTGACCGAGAAAAAAATATATTCTTTCAGAGCTGCAAAACCGTGAGTGTTTGAATGCAGCTGCTCCGCTCGAGGGTTTAGAGCTGCAGAAACGTGACTGCCTTATGCTCTATTCTTCCTCCTCCATACTTCTGTCTCACGTTTTTCTCTTCCCCACTTCCACCAATCGGTGATCGTAGATCTCATGATTAGGCAGCAACGTGACAGCAGCTACTACTGCCTTTTCTTATCGCAGCTGTACGATAGAGTACTCCACGGTATAAATAGTGGCTTAATGACATTTCCGTGCAGTCGTATCTTATTAGTTTCTCTATGTTTCTTCTCTCGTTCTTTTCTCAAGCTAGTAGAGGAAACGTAAATGGTCTCTTTCAACTTAGATACTCGGTACGGATTCTCATCCGCTTTTCTCTTCTATGCTCCAAGCCTTCCCCTTCCATTGCATTGAGTTCTTTCTTCTCTCTCCCTCCATATTTGCATCCTCAGTTTGCATCTTGAAGACGAGGTAAGCACAATCCCTTTCCTTCCCACCATTCACCTCCCCTACCATATCTCTCTCTTCCATCTACGCCGCCTCCTCTATTTTCAGTTCTTCGTTTTTCTCCCTTGTCCATTCCATTCAATCCTTGTGCCACCTTCAGTTTCGTTTTCTATCTCAATCTTACGTACCCATTCCATTCAATCTCTCTCCCGATCCGTTTTGTGCCCGTTTTCTGTTTTTATCTTACTCTATCTCTTTGATTCCGCGATTTTTTTAAAATCTTCCTGCAGAGTTTCAGCTCGTTGAAGATGCTAACATGCATCGTTATGGGCAACGCAACGTGACTACTCATTCTTCTCTAAACTGCATTTATGTTTCAGTGCAACCGTTTCAAACTGTTTTCTGTGCCTTGTGTAGTCACTGATCTAGGTCACTAGTAGCAGCAATACTCTTTGTGTATTTCAAAAAGTGAAATTGTTTTCATCACCTTAACCAAGGTTCTTGACTCTCGCTTTGAGTGCAGTCATTTGAACTGGGAATGATGAACGCAAACCACTTTTTGGAACTCACAAATTGTGTTGCTTTTTGTTTGTACTTTATTCATGACAATTAGGCTAGAAGCTTCCCCCCCCCCAGCTAGAACTGGGGAAGCGATAGCCTAATTTTGTTTTGATGAACTAGGCTTTTTGCTTCCCCCACTTAGTTGGGGAGGCGATAACCTATTTTTGTCTCGACAAATAAATGCCATGAGATATGATGGGAAACAAAGGCATTGACTTCTATTTCTCATTAGTGCTTCCGCTCAAAATTGATAGTGTAATATGCACAAATACGTATTACAGTATTGTAACGTACACGAGAACCAATTAGATTCAGATTTCAAATGCTAGTAAGTTAAAGACCATTTTCAATTTTTGAGTTTATATTTTTTTACCACTTTTTTTTTTTTTTTTTTTAAAGTCTGTTCGATCGATTGCAATAGTGTAAGGAATGAGTCATTCCTTACTGAGGCTTGCTACAGGGCGTACAACTCGAACAGTCCCGAACCATCGCCAGGGTTCCAGACCTATCAGTTCGAGCCTCCTGGGCCTTTCCGGACCTCGCTACGACACATCGAGGTCCTTCGATACTTTTCCCGAACCTTCCGATCCTACGTCCAGGATCACCCTAGGCTTTCTATATATTGTGTGTTCTTTCATTTTATTGTCATTCACTCGTTCACAGTTTCGCCATTGCCCTCCGCGCTACTCGGCAGTCCCACTCATAACAAATAGGTTGCTCCGCAACCCAAAAAAAACAACCATGGTAACTGTTGAAGTCTGTGGTAGATGAAGAAGCTGCGCACTAAGGGGGCGTGAAGGCGAAATGAGGAGTTGAGACTGATACAGATTGAGTTGTCGAGGGATAATGAAAAAGTCTTTAGTTGGAAGGCGTTAGAGGGCGCAGAGGGGAGGGTAAGGATGGATCAGAAACGGGGAGGGGGGAATTGTGCAACATGGCTGGCTGGGTGTTTGGGGCGAGCTGGTGCTTGAGCTGGATTAGCCGTGTTGGAACAGCTTGGCAAATTTCGATTGGTTGGGCAAGGGGCATGGGCTGAGTTGGATGGAGAAATCGGGTCGGGATTGGCTGGAACAATAACAGGTTTGGTTGGGGGCGAAAGTGTGTGGTTGGTTTGGTTGGGCAAGGGGCAGGGGCTGAATTGGATAGAGAAATTGGGTTGGGATTGGTTGGAACGATGGGCTGGGTGGTTGGGGTGGGTTAGCGCGTCATTTTGTGAATAGGGGCGTGTTCATATTGACCCAAATATCAAGCAAACAGGATGTGAAACGTTGGATCACAGGAGACACGAGCGTTAAAGTACGATGTCATATGCGATTGATATCGGTTTAGTTTGGTATCTCAAATTTCAACCCACTTGCTTGATTCGAATCGAGTCCGCTAGACTACGCCTTTTTTTCTGCCAGTATATCAAGTGCTAAACGATTTTGATTTCCTACGTTGCTCTGTGGTTTAAATAGCACTTTTTGTATTTGGAAGATTCAGGTTCGAATCCCATGAGAAACATATTGAAATGTTGCTTTTGAAGTCTCAATACTGCACTCTCCTTTTGCTCCTTTTTCAAATATATTACAATATGTTGCACAAAATAGAAAGAGTATTAAGTTTACTATGGTAGGAGTATCTAATATGCAACATTACATCTATTACAACATTTCAACGACTACGGTTCAGTGTTACAGACTTTGTACAAGTTGTATTAAACAAAAGTCAATTATCTATGCAAATACAAGCCATCAGAACACAGTTATTACTAA